CATAAGTCGTGACCGTAATCCAAAAATAAATTACTCTTAAAAGAAAAGAATACGATTACCAACTTAGTCATTGGTGTCTAACAGCAATTAATACTAATAAAAGTTTTCATTTTATTTACTTGATCCTAAAAAATTAATAGATCTAAAATGTTTTGCTAACAAGGTTGTAAGGCGACGTTGCAGCCTTTTTTAATTCTTATGTACTTTATAAATCTACTATTGAGCACAAACAAAATCATTTAACAAACATTGAACCTAAGGAAAAGAGTTGTGTGGCGACAGATACGGGAAATATAATAATTGGTTAAAAAAAAAACTCTATTTAAACGTGTAGCTTGAAGAAATTCCATTATGAAACAGTGTATAAAATATGTACAATATGAAAAGGTTTATTAATTTTAGGACACTATAAGAATATAACCCAACAATTTGCACTAGCAGCTGCTCGGCTTTTCGATGTTCTACATTTTGAAGAGTATACGAAGAATTCCATAACTTAATTTCTCCTTCCTTCTTCCACCATCGGATAACCAGACTCTCGGATGGCCTCTTCATTGTTGACTTACCACGCTTTCGAACTAAATGGTTTGTTTCGTCTTTCGTCATGCGATCAGAAGAGGATCGTAATAAATCTCTTAAATGGAAATAAGACAAAATGTATTAAATTTACAATACCTAACGATAAACATTCGAATACCAATTGATGTGCTCATAAAAGGGGAGGAGTTGAGTCTTGTGCACAGTAATACCAAGAAAAACAGTGGATACTACTGTTTTTCTTGGTATTACTTTTGACGCGAAGCTTCAATGTGACCTCCATATATCTAAATTAGCAGTTGGACTTAGTTATTCAGCATGATATGCTGTAAGAAAGATTAGATGTCTCACTAATGTTGAGATTAGTTTATTTTAGTTACTTTCATAGCGTGATGTCTTATGGAATTTTGCTATGGGGTAATGCGATTGACAATGTCAGTCGCATTACCCCATAGCAATAGCATAGCCTCAAGCATACAGTCATATTTGTTTTGTAAAAGAGAGCCGTACCGGCGATTTATAACTTTAATTGTAAATAGTCTTTTGTGAGAAAATATTAAAAAAATAAACATATAAACTTTAGAAAATGGCAATATATTTATGAAAACGGAAATGTATGTACTTAAAAACATACATAGCTTCGATAAAATTAAAGATGTTTATACTTTAAAGACTAGGAACAAACATAAGCTTGTAATACCAGTTACAAGACTCCACAGAATTAGTAATTTATTTATGAGATAATGTATACGTTTTCACAACAAAATCCCAGAAAATGTAGAAAATTTCTCAATAGACAAGTTTAAATGTCTTATTAAAGAGAAATAATACAAAAAGGGTTATTATAATATCAGAGAATACATAAATGAAAAAGCCCCTGGGAATAAGGTGTAAGGTGGGAAAAATTGTATACACAAAATTACTGTAAAGTGAAATATTATGTTTAAAAAAGTACCACTGGGTTTCTTGCTGATACTTCACAAGGCAGAGGTACTCGTATGCATGTGGTCAGTTGGAAAAATCATCCAGTGCAATGATAAATAAAATGACTTTCAATAAGTATTATGTAATTATCTATATTGAATAAAAGTTATTCTATTCTAATTTGCTCAAGTATTATACTTAATAATAGATTTTATTTCCAGTCGGTGAAATTTGATTTCAGTCTAACTGGGAAGATTTTCCGCCACGAGTTTTTTAGTCATTTTAGAGCTTTGTTCGTTGATAAGAAGAGTTTTTAGTTCTAAGTATTTCCATTTGTAATAAAAAGGTAACACATTTAAAAATATTTCATGCCAAAAATAGCCAAGATCTTTATAACAATAAAATGTGATATATAAAAATTTTAATAACTATTTCAGTGTACTGAAAGCGCTTTGTGAGTAACTTCTTAGATTCCTGAAAGTCTGCGCAAGTTATAATTGATCAATTTATCTCGATCGTCTCACTTTTGATCGGATATAAGAGTCTTTATTGTTACATTCAGACATTATTAACTTTGTAATTACAAAGATTATTAACTACACTTTCATTGCTTTTTAATGATAAATTTTAGGGATTCCGCAATGTCATAATAAGATTATATTAAGGATTAGACTAATAAAGTATATTTGTCTAATCCTTAATATAATCTTATATAAAGAGATTAAGGATTAGAGAAATTTTTTTTGCAGAAAAATTATATGAAAAGCATGCATGTATTTTTTATGAAGTGTCTGTGTATTTCCGTATGGGTGTGAGCGCGTGTGTGTGTGCACGGACTTTGATACTTTCGTAGTATTGCCATCTTCATCAGCGTTTTTTCCAAATGGATGCAGATCGTAAATAAATAAATGCTCTATTTCACTAATAACTTTGAAAAATAAATGAAAAGTCCTGACTCTTAATGTACTTATGATATTCTTTGTGTACACAAACACTACATAAATATTGAATTTAATTATTTTTTACATACAATATAATGGGTTTGATTTATCTTAATCTTATTTTTCTTCAATAGTCTTTACTTATGATAAGCCTCAGAGAAAATTTAAATCAATCGAAGTTCTACAAAGCACTTAACTTTTAGATTGTTAAATGTCTTTATAAAACATATTGCTTGGACAAAAGAGTCACAGTGATGTTGCAAGAGCTGTTTCCATAAAGTTTTAATTGCAAAGTTTGAGTTAGTTAACCCAAGCAAAATTTTAGTAACACAATTTTGAAATATAAAAAAAAGCAAATGGCTTGCTTTAAATATTTTCATTACGTTTTACTGTATTGTCAAGCCTTTTTTAAGAATCTGCTGTTAGATACGCATATTTTATAAGGTATGTAAGACTAACACAGTACTTATATTGAACTGGTTATCAGTTTTATACGAAAACAAATCTTTGTGTTTTGTTCAAATATTCAGTCCGACCAGAATTTGAACGGGGTAGCCGTGAGTGATCAGTAAATCACGAGTTGCGAAGTTAACCAAGATATCCTTCTACAATCGTTTAAGCTAATGAAAAACTGCGAGATTTGTGGTGTCATATCAATGATAAGATTTTTCCGCAGTAGTTTCGTGACAGGAATAGTAACTTAAATCTAATAGAACGCCCTCATTCTGAGTTACGTCATATGTGGAATAATATGATAATGGTTACGTAATGATTTCTTATATTTATGAATACACATTAGATAAAACTGCAGCGGATTTTGCTGTTGAACGTATGGGCCGGCTCGAGCCGTTTTGGTACCACGACCTCACAGAATATTGGCGTGAAGTAGAAGCTCTGCTTCTGCGTTTTGTCTGGTGAGTGCAGGTGGCAGAAGGCTCAATTCCCCCCTCTATCAACATGGTAGCGGAATTAAATGAAAAACTTCGCCAAGAGGGTATCAGCATCCCTGGAGAATCCCTCGCTGAGCATCCGCGACCAAGCTACTCCACTCCTGAGCGTGGTTGCTCAGGCTGCCCCGCGTGTTCTGGTTCCCAAGGATTTATGGTTTATTAAATTTAGTGTAATTGCGGAAACGGTCTTGAAGATGTTCACAGACTGCAGACTTCACGGAACGTCAATACTTCACGTATGTACTATACTATATGGTCGCTTACGCAGGTTTTTATCGATTTTTTTTTCATACGTAAGAAATGCCACATTCACAATCAAGCGTGTAAATTCTTGCATCTTATAGAGAGACTTGGCGCTTGGTAAGAAGTGACTAAGCAGTATGTTCATGTGGAATCTCAATCAAAATTTAGCCAATTTTGTTGTTGTACAAATAAAAAAAATATATTAATATCTAACATTTTCTCATTATATATTTTGTTTCCTTTCATCCTCAAGTTAAATCACAAAATCAAGAAGAAATCAGAAAACAATAATATTTTTAGTGGTAGTAGTTTAAATTTATAAAAGTAACAGCATGAAACTCCGGAGTGTATTAAAAATGTTGTTTGAGCTCCTATGAGAAAGCCATATAAACGGCAAGCAATGAAGAGAAACTATAAAATTTGTTATCAATAAGAACTTTGCTCTTTTCAGACTTCTATGTGATAAAAATAATATTTCTTATTTAATGTGCTTGTATTTTTAAATTAAAAATTGAAATTGAAAATTTATTTATTTTCTCACTACAAAACCACAAAAATACATATATTAAAACTACTAAACTAAAAATTAATAGCTATTAAAAAAGAATGATTGCAGATCGCTGGTGTCTGAAGTAGGTAATTAAACCTTTAGTTTCAGGTCACAAAGCCTCCATCTTAGTTACCAATAATCACTAAGATTTTAAAGTAAAACATTATAAATATAGATGTGGGTGCGAGAATTTATGAGTGCGTGCGCGTAAATAGTTTCTAGAAAAATATACTAAAATGCATTGAATCATTTTAAAAGTTGCTAGAGGTTTGTTGATTGCAATTTTATTTCCTATTTTTCCCAGTGACCGCATTTATTACTTTCTACTCTCACTTCAGCCAGTACAATAAAAACAAAAACTAAATGTTCATAAAAATCTAATTGGTGTCAATTGCAAAAAGTTTCGTGACATTTTTAAGAAAGGCTTTTACGAAATCTTCAGAAAAAGCATTTTTTTTTCTTTTTTTATAGAAGAGGGGGCAAACGAGCATGCGGCTCACCTGATGGTAAGTGACTACCGCCACCCATGAACAACCGCAACACCAGGGAGGAAATCGCAGATGCGTTGCCGGCCTTTTAGAAAGGTGTAAGCTCTTTTCTTGAAGGTTCCTAAGTCCGGAAAATTCGCTGGTGGTAATTGATTCCACAAGGAAGTTGTGCGAGGGAGAAAACTTCTAAATCGCACAGTGGTGGACCGCCAATCATCCAGATGGTATGGATGGTAACGCGAGTTTTGTCGCGATGTGCGATGGTGAAATTGAGCGGCTGGAATTAGTCCGAACAATTCCTCAGAGCACTCCCCGTGGTAAATGCGAAAGAAAATGCAAAGAGATGCAACATCTCTTCGCAGTGCCAATGAGTCGAGCCGATTGGAAAGGACTCGGTCGTCGACGATTCGAGCCGCTCTGCGCTGGATGCGGTCAAGTGGAAGGAGCTGGCACTGGGGAGCCCCAGCCCAGAGATAGGAACAGTATTCCACGTAAGACCGAACCTGCGCCTTGTAAAGTTGCAGGCGTTGAGCTGGCATGAAATACTGTCCCGCTCTGTTAAGAACGCCAAGCTTTTTAGAGGCCAATTTGGCCTTCTCTTCCAAGTGACCACGAAACTGCACGTCACTCGATATCTCGACGCCGAGGATTCCGATACTGGCTGAGGCAACAAGGGGAGTACCTTGAAACTGAGGAGATACGACAAAGGGGTTCTTTTTAGCGGTAAACGCGCAAACTTGTGTCTTCTGGGGATTGAACTGGACTAGATTTAGTCGGCCCCAATCCGAGACTTTGTTAAGCAAAGACTCGACTTCAGACACAAGTTTGTCCCGGTATTCAGCGACATTTTCCCGAGAAATATTGGCACAGCCGGTATATAAGGCATCACCAGTGCTGTCGTCCGCATAGCAATGAATGCTACTAGTTAGCAACATATCATTGATATGCAGGAGAAACAGCGTTGGTGATAGCACGCAGCCTTGTGGAACACCAGCGTTGATAGGCTTGAAATCAGAGCATGCGCCGTCTACTACGACCTTGATGCTCCGATCAGCAAGGAAACTGGTGATCCATTTGCACAATTTCTCGGGAAGCCCATAGGAAGGAAGCTTCGAAAGAAGCGCTTTGTGCCAGACCCGATCGAAGGCCTTCGCTATGTCCAAACTAACGGCCAATGCCTCCCTCTTGGACTCTACTGCCTCCGCCCACCTATGAGTCAGATAGACTAGAAGATCTCCAGCTGATCAACCTCGACGAAAACCATACTGGCGGTCACTAATCAGCTGGTGATCCTCAAGGTACCTCATGAGCTGGCAGTTTATAATGGATTCCATTATTTTGAAGAACAAGGAGGTGATGGCAATAGGCCTGTAGTTGGACGGGTCTGAGCGGTCGCCTTTTTTAGGGATCGGGTGGACCAAAGCTGTCTTCCATGAATTCGGGACTACGCCTTGGGAGTAGGAGTATCGGAAAAGACGCATTAAAACCGGTGCCAACTCCGGAGCACACGTCTTCAGTACAATGGGAGGGACTCCATCGGGTCCACTCGACTTGCTGAAGTCCAGGGAGAAGAGTGCTTTGGGAACCGAGCGCTGTGTAAACCAAGCATCCGGCATGGAGCACTCACATCGCGGGATGATCGGCGGTGTGTTCCCCCCGTCATCTAGAGTCGAGTTGGACGCAAAAAGAGAGCTCAACAGATCGGCTTTCTCCTTTGCGGCATGGGCCAGTGAGTCGTCCTCCATGTGCAGAGATGGAAGAGATGGCTGACAGAAGTTCCCTTGGACAGCCTTGGCGAGAGACCAGAATGCACGGGTTCCCGAAGGAAGGCGAACTAGCTTCTCGCCAATTCTGCCGATGTGCTCAGACCTTGCCTTGGCAATGACGCTTTTGAAGGACCTGGAGGCGGAATTATACTTCTTTTTAAGTGCGCTGGTGTTTACATCCCGAGACGTTGATGCGTCAGCCCAGGCCCGGTAGCAATCCTGCTTATAGCGTGATGCTATTTTACAGGAGTGACCAAACCATGGCTGGGATCTGCCTCCGATGGGCACCACAGAGGATGGAATAAAAAGTTCCATACCCTGAAGCACCACATCAACAACAGAATCGGCAACAACGCTGGGATCTATCGGCGAGAAGCAAACCCGCCCCCAAGGGTACGATGCAAAAAAAGACCGCATCCCGTCCCAATCAGCTGACCTATAGTGCCAAACACGGCGGCAAGCTGCAGATCGCAATTGCGATTGGAGCGTGAGTGGCACCGTACTCCGGATCAGACAATAGTCCGAAGAGCCTAGAGGGGCATCGACGGAGACCTGATATCCGTTCGGATGAGAGGTCAGCAGAAGGTCCAACAGGGAAGGTACGTGGTCTTCCATATCTGGAATCCGCTTATGCGAAGTAACCAGTTGTGTTAGACCATATGCCAAAGCAAAGTCATAGACAGATCTACCCGCATGATCGGTTAAACGAGAACCAAGCCATTCAGCGTGGTGGGCGTTAAAATCACCGAGTATCACGATCTCTGCGGATGGGACCTGTTGTAGCACGGAGTCTGCAACCATTTGAACGTGGTCGATGAGTCGGTCTGTGTCGGTATTACCGCTATGGGACCTATAGAGGCACCCGTAGACGCGGGGATGGTCGTCGCTGTCTACGCACAGCCATAGGATTGATATAATTTAAAGTTAATACATTTTTTTCTATACTTAAAAACACGATACTAAGCCACCGGCATTCATCGACTTACTGTATGTACTTTATGTATGATTGCAGCACGAATAGTTCGGCTCGTCCAGTGAGAAAGCTTATTGCTGCTGTTTCGTAATTCAAAGAATAGTGCTCTCCATAGCTCGCTCTGCCACCTTAAATTTCCTCATATTCCGGCCAGCAGTGAAGGATTATGACTAAGATCCATATGTCATTACTGGCAATATGCAATGGTTGTACACTATTACATATATTTTCAAGTTTTGAGGAATACGTGACGAGAAAATGTGTCGTAATCTCTCGAACGTCGATTGATCTTAGGGTAGGATTGCAAGACGTCTTTATTTACAAGTACGTTCTCTATTTCACACCAAAAATTAATCATGACCCCTAATTTTAAATCTTTAATAGAGAACAAGTTAGTGAGGCTAGTTGAGGTCATCATCATCATCATTCATCATTACAGCCCTTCACAAGTCCACTGCTGAACATAGGCCTCCCCCATAGCCTGTCGAAGTTGTTGACGAGTATGTTTACCTGGGACAAATAGTCCGACTAGGTAAGTCCAACTTCGACCGAGAGGTCAATCGACGGATTCAACTCGGCTGGGCAGCGTTCGGGAAGCTACGACACATCTTCTCGTCAGACATACCTCAAAACCTGAAAACGAAATTGTACAACCAGTGCGTGTTGCCAGTGATGACTTATGGAACTGAGACGTGGTCCTTCACTGCTGGCCGTATGAGGAAGCTCAAGGTCGCTCAGCGAGCTATGGAGAGTTGAGGTCAAAGAGTTTAAAAATTACTTTGAGGTTCGAAGAGGTAAATTAGACACTCTAGGTCTAAATTACCTCGTCGAACAGTTTTATAACTTTGAACTGAAATAATTTTACAGATTTTACACGTACATTTTTTTAATTCCCGATGTTTCGGGTGCTTTACGGAAACCATGATGACTGGAGGGCTGAGGTGTTTGATGTCTTGATATCGTAGTTAAGGAAGGCTACGTTCAACTTTTTCTACGTGGTAGAGCCATGCTGCACCTATATTATGGTTGTAGCACGAATGGTTCGGCTCGACCGGGGAAGGACCACGCTCTCACAGAAAACCAGCGTAAAATAGCAGCTTAACGCTGCTGTGTTACGTATGGTGAGTGTAGAGAACCGGAGACCCTTTTTACTGGCAAAGAGGCATTCCATCTTAGTCCTCACGGGTGACAACGCATCTGCATCTTGAGTCTTTATTGAGGATAGATGTAGATGTATGTAATGTATTAAATTTACAATACCTAATGTAAAACATTCGAAAACCAATGTGCTCTTAAATGGGGAGGAGTTGAGTCTTGTGGATACCACTGTTTTTCTCGGTATTACTATTGACGCGAAACTTCAATGGGGCCCCCATATATCTAAATTAGCAAGCACACTTAGTTCTGCAGCATATGCTGTAAGAAAGATTAGAAGTCTCACAGATGTTGAGACAGCTAGGTTAGTGTATTTTAGTTACTTTCATAGCGTAATGTCTTATGGAATTTTGCTATGGGGTAATGCGACTGATATTGAAGCTATATTTGTTTTGCAAAAGAGAGCCGTACGGGCGATTTATAATCTAAATTGTAAAGAGTCCCTTAGAGAAAAATTTAAAGAAATAAACATATTAACTTTGGCATCGCAATATATTTATGAAAATGTAATGTATGTACATAAAAACATAAATAGCTTTAATAAGAATAAGGATGTTCATACCTTAAACACTAGGAACAAACATAAGCTTGTAATGCCACTTACAAGACTCCACAGAATTAGTAATTCATTTATGGGGCAATGTATACGCTTTTACAACAGAATCCCAGAACATGTTCAAAGTTTGTCAATAAACAAGTTTAAAAGTTTTATTAAAGAAAAACTGTACAAAAAGGGTTATTATAATATCAAGGAATACATGAATGAAAATAACCCCTGGGAATAAGGTGATCGCCACCATGCTGGTTCTATGAAAATTCATTTAAAATTGTATAAACAAAATTATTGTTAAGTGAAATTATGTTTAAAAAAAAAGTCCCGCTGGGTTTCTTGCTGGTTCTTCCCAGGACAGAGGTATTTTCCGAACCAGTGGTAAATAAAATAATGACTTTCAATAAGTATTATGTAATAATCCATATTGAATAAAAATCATTCTAAGATGTCTATGGGTCACAGTAACCACTTACCATCAGGTGGACTGTGTGCTCGTTTGTCACCCGATCCTATAAAAAAAAAACTTTTAAATATATTATAACTTTTATATTACATAATCACAATGTTGTTCGTTATTAAAAAATCTGCACGAATTACATAATAATCTAAACACTATAGTAACTATAGACCACTTGTCTATCTTATTTGTTATACAATTTAAAACATATCTCGTTTTCATAATGATTTCTTAAATTTACAAGAATGCTTAAAATTGAATTAAAACTAATTTTATGGTTATATCGACATATCGTGTGCTTTACTGCATCTACGGTTACGGGTCAAATAATTAAAATAAGTTATATTAAGCGGGATGAAATCCGTAAAATTCGTTTTCCAAAACTTAAAAGTTTATTGGCTTCCGGTGCATTATTAAGAAATTATTCATTTTGTTATTATTTTTGATTATGATTGTTATTTCGACGTTTCAAACATTGTGGATGATTATCATCAAAAGATTATGGATGAGTAAAAGTAATTGGTAAAGACGAGACACTTATGCATACTCCTTGAATTTAATATAAAAAATTGTAAGGTTTCTCAAAACACCACCCATACTTACGATTA